GCGTGCAAGAGGCAGCTGATGGATGATTCTCTCTTATCAACATTTCTAACTCTCTATCCCTCTCTCTTCCTCTCTGTAAAAAAATCAATAAAATATATTTTAAAAAATAAAAATAAAAAAAATAAAACGGCACCTGAATGATGTGATTTCTCTCTTGGCCCTCGCCGCTCTCAAGGAAGCAAGCTATATCAAAGGTGATCCAAAAATTATCACAACTTCTGGGCCAGTTTCCAAGTGAGGCTGGCCCGGCCTAGGCAGGCATGAACCCAATCAAAAAGAGATTTATTGGGGGGCTATTCGGTGTCAGACGCCGCGGGGTGCTGGGAATACACGGAAGAAAAAGGTAAGACTTTATCCTTGCCGGATGCTATGGGGGAAGAGATTATACAGAAGCAAACAAAGCCCAGGAGCCGTGGACACAAAGGTGTGTCTGTTAGCGGGGAATGGGGGTGGGGAGGGAAGACTGTGCGGGTGAGGGTGTAGCAATCGGAGATCCTGCTGGAGGTCCAGGGTTTTGATCCAGGATGTCGAAATCTGAAGGAGGAGAAGAAGGTATTTTGCGGAGCCAGGAGGAACAGCAAGTTCAAAGACCCCTGCCGAAACCGGTGTGGCTCAGTGGATAGAGCGTCGGCCTGCGGACTGAAAGGTCCGGGGTTCGATTCCGGGCAAGGGCATGTACCTTGGTTGCAGGCACATCCCCAGTAGGGGGGGGTGAGCAGGAGGCAGCTGATCGATGTTTCTAACTCTCTATCCCTCTCCCTTGTTCTCTGTAAAAAAAAAAAAAAATCAATTAAAAAATATATAGATTTTTTAAAGAGTAGAAGCCCATAGGAAATATGGACTCATCAGCGTGTAGGTGACAGTGACAGCCATGGCTGGGGCGGATGACATGACCTAGGAAGAGAGTGCTGACAGCACAAAGGAGCCAGGACCAGCAATACCATCATTCAGAGGTCGGGCAGAGAACAACCAGCAGGAGGCCTAAAAGGAATCATCAGGAAGGAAGGCAAGAGGAAACCGGAGAGTAGTCGCCATGCCTGGCAGCCTGGCCGGGCGCCTCAGTGGTTAGGCATCTCCCCCCTCCCCCCCATGAAGAGGAGAGGGCTGGCAAGAAGCTGGGAGGGGAGGTGCTTGGGGGCGGAGGGAGTGGCCATTGTGAGGAAGGCAGCTGGGAGGTGGAGTAAGACAAGGACAGAGCCTGGCAACCTGCAGGTCATCAGGGACCCTGGCCGCCTCCCAGGAGAGGTGGGAGCAGAAGCCAGACTGTAGGGTGAGCCAACAGTGGGTGAAGAAAACGAATGGAGACAGTGAGTTTGGACATGTTTTGTTTTTGTTTTTTTTTAAATATATTTTTATTGATTTTAGAGAGGAAGAGAGAGGGAGAGAGAGAGATAGAAACGTCAATGATGAAAGAGGATCACTAATCAGCTGCCTCCTGCGTGCCCCCTACTGGAGATCGAGCCCACAACCCCAGACACGTGCCCTTGACCGGAATTGAACCTGGGACCCCTCAATCTATAGGCTGACGCTCTATCCATGGAGCCACACCGGCTAGGGCCATGTCTTTTATTTTTTTTAAAAAAATTTTTTTTAATTGATTTCAGAGAGGCAGGGAGAGGGACAGAGAGCTAGAAACGTGAATGATAAGAGAGAATCACTGACCGGCCGCCTCCTGCACGCCCCACACTGGGGATGTAGCCCACAACCCAGGCCTGTGCCCTGAACGGGAGTCAAACCATGATCTCCTGGTTCATAGGCCGATGCTCAACCACTGAGCCACATCGGCTGGGCTGGACATAACTTTTGAGATGTTTTTCAGGTGAAAGGGATCAAGGAAGTGGAACGAAAGCGGGAGGGATATTAATAAGAACAGCTGAAACTGTGCCACCCCATATGGCAGCCACTAGCCACCTGTGGTTGTTTAAATGTAAATTAAAATAAAAAATTCAAGTTCTCATCCTAGCTGGTTTGGCTCAGTGGATAGAGTGTCAGCCTGTGGACTGAAGGGTCCCAGGTTTGATTCCGGTCAAGGGCATGTACCTTGGTTGCGGGCACATCCCTGGTGGGGGGGTGTGCAGGAGGCAGCTGATCAATGTTTCTAATTCTCTCTCTCTCACCCTTCCTCTCTGCAAAAAAAAAAAACATATATATTTTTTTAAATAAAAATTCAGGTCCTCGGCCACTCCAGCCACATTTCCAGTATCCAACAGCCACATGTGGCTGGTGGCAGCCATATGGGACTAACACAGACAATAGGGCATGTCCCATCAGCACAGAGAGTCCTACTGATATAGCACCGAATGGAAGCACGCAGTACACTGATGGGAATGAGCCTGCAGAGAGGGAGGTGGGAACTGGGAAAATGTGTCCTGAGGGGATGAGAGGGGAGGGGATGAGAGGGGAGGGGATGGCCAGTCCCCGGGAGGGGGGAGGGGGTTCTGATAGGAGGGACCCGAGGAGGAGCTGGCCATCCATTTGGCAGAGCAGGTAGGAAGGAGAACACGGGGCAGATACACGGGAGACTGTAGGCGTGGCGGGCAGGGGAGGCTGTCCGTGGTCCTCGCTGAAAAAGGAGGCTACATGTGTGCGTGGGGAGGACGGGGATCTGGGGAGGGAAGGAGGTTTGGAAAAGCTGCCTGAGGGAGGGAGAACACAGACTTACTGGGGAAACCACACACAATGGGAAACATTTTGCAGAAGAGAAGCAGAACACGGGGACACTGAATGAGGAAAAGCATCTTAGGTGGGGAGAGGTAAACTCAGATTTTTTAATTTTTTTTTTTTTTTATGGGAGTGAAAGGGAGTTCTTTTATTTTTTTTAAATATATTTTATTGATTTTTTTTTTACAGAGAGGAAGGGAGAGGGATAGAAAGCTAGAAACATCGATGAGAGAGAAACATCGACCAGCTGCCTCCTGCACACCCTCCACCTGGGATGTGCACGCAACCAATGTACATGCCCTTGACCAGAATCAAACCCGGGACCTTTCAGTCCGCAGGCCGAAGCTCTATCCACTGGGCCACACCGGTTTCGGCTTGGGTTTTTTTGTGTTTTTTTTCCCTTAAATCCTGGTTGTGTCGACAAGCCCAGCCACCACGAGGCTGCAGGACCTCAGCAAAGTTTCCCGCCGGCTGCCCTTCCCCGGTTCTCCCTCCTCCATCCCACTCAACTCTCGGGAAGAATGACATGGGTTCTATTTTCAGTTAAAAACGGTTCCCTCCGCCCGCCTCTGTCCAAACTGCTTATCCAGCCCGAGCTCCATCTCAGTTTACAGCCACCGCTTGCGTGTGCCTCCCCATAAATTATACAAGTGGACATATTAAAAATGGCAGAATTAGGCAAGGAGTTCCAAACAGCCCTTACCTACAAGAAGTGAGGGACAGACGTTCTTGGGTGACAGTAACTCGACACGCAAGACGTTATCCCCCGTGGGAACAAAACCCCCGAGCCATGCCTCCCCGTCTCTCTGCCACAAAAATTATGCCCTAACATTTCTCTTTATGAGCAAACGTTTGCATTCCCACGGAACTGTTTGATCTCAACCGGTCGGCGTTTCAATATTTGCTTTTTGATTGCGTGAGTGTGCCGGGTCGGTGTTGTGTTGGCTGAGGGGGTGGGGAGGGACATGGGAGTTAAAATTACCAGATCCCTGTATCTCCCATCTTGAGATCTACATCTGCCAACTCCTTCCCGTGGTTTTTTTTTTTTTTTTAAGTATGAAATCTGAGAGCTTGCAAAGCTTCCCACGGCTCACAGAACAGCCCTTTCGCAGTCTCTCGTGGGGTCACTGGGATTGCGACGGTCTGCTTCCCAGCTGTCTCCCACCCCCGTTTCGGTACGCACGGCACCTCTTGAATCTGCACCAATGCCTGAAGCCCACCTCCGTTCCCCTGTCTGCTCAGGTTGGCCCAGAGCCCCCATACTGCCCTTCCAGGAGATTCCTCTCGGCCTGCCTTTGAGCCCGGTGCAGATCCCCCCAGATAGAGTTCACTGGGTCAAAGGACCCCAGAAACTTTTCTGGATCCGGGCACAATAACGCCCAGTGGCCCAGGGGAGCTGGATCCAGCCCCTAGGACAATCTAGCCCCTTGCCATTCCTCGCCTATCCCATACAGGAAAGCCAGATCTCTAGCCCCACAGAGCACAGGTCTTTGGGGCAGGATAAGGACGCCAAGCTCAGCGGCAGGAGACACAGAGATGGAGGGACTCTGGTTCACTTGCGACCCCACCCCCCACTGTGGGGCTGTGGCTTCCCTCTGTCCCTCACACAGTGTCCCTCTGCCAATGCTGATCAGCTGCCCAGCCAGTGGGAAGGCGCCAAACCACTTCAGGCCTCAGCTTCCTCATCTGTGAAATGGGCACAATAGCCATTCCCTGGATACTGAGGTCCCCCCCCCCATCCTCCCAAGTGCAAATGTAAGGAGTTGAACTGTGGTTAGCACGGCGGCTCCCTGCCTCACAGCGCCTACCGCTCTGAGACACGCCTGGAGAGATCCATCCTGCTTTTTTCAATTACTTCATAGACTCAGAAGCATTAGTCACTTCGACAAGAGTATCTCAACTTCTCTCCCGAGCACCTGGCTGGTTGAAGCCTCACCTCGCTCCTCACCTCTGCCATCATCCGCAGCCATCCAAGTCCACCCTCCCTGCGCCGGGGGGGTTATTATTATTATTATTCCCTTTCCAGGAAAACTTGCAATTCCATTTTGTTGGGAATAAACCCCATAGCGGGGAAGGATAAACTGCTTCCCACACACTCGCACGGCACAGGCCCTGGAGCGAGGGGACCGTGGAGGGACAGCCGCATGGCCGAGGCAGCAGAGCCGGCAGGGGGGCGCCGATCCCCGCGCAGTGCCCTGGCTGGCGGCTCCGGAGAGGTGGGCCCCGGGCCCCGGGCGGGCGGAGGGCGCGGGGGTCGGCGGATCGCTGGCTCGGGGCTCCCAGCATACAGACGAGCCGGAGGCCCGCAGCCCCCCAGCGCGGCGGGCTCACTCACTCACCCCATCTCCGGCGCTCGCTCTCCCGCGGCTGCTCCGTCGGGGCCTCTGGCACTCGCTGTCCGCCCGCCTGGCAGCTGCTCCCTGCGCAGCACATGCGGGAGCCCGTGCGCGCCCGGCTCAGCCCCGGCGCCGCCGCTCCATCCCGCGGGCTGCGCTGCTTCTGCCGCCACCGCCGGGCGGGCGGGCGGGCGGGGGCCGAGCCGCCAGGGGCAGGGCAGCCGGATCGGGCGGTGCCCGCCCCGCCCCGCTCCTTACGTAACCTCGTGGCCCCCAGGCCCTGCGCTCAGCATAGGGGCGGGGGTGCCAGGGCGCCTAGCAACCGGCCTCCCCGGCAGACCCCTCCCCTTTGCGCTTTTGCATCCGTACGCCCCCCAGGGGGCATCCTGCCCGCGTCCCAGTGGAACGGAGGGGGGTGCTCTGCAGCTCCCCTCGGTTTGCAGGTGAGGGCCACCGAAGTCCCAGGGAGGGGGCCATTTGCCCAAGGTCACACGATCAGGTCAGAGCTGGGGGTCCCCTCCCCTGGCAGACCACTGCCAGGCTGGGCGCCTCGGGGGGGCTGGCAGAAGCCAGCTTGGCAGGGAGGACCCTAACCCTGCAGCAAGTGTTCTAGGCTCTTCCCTGAGCAAGGATGGGAGGTGAAATCAGTGGATCGCTTTTATTTTTTATTTACTTACTTAATATATTTTTATTGATTTTCCACAGAGAAGGAAGGGAGAGGGACAGAGAGCTAGAAACGCTGATGAGAGAGAAACATCGACCAGCTGCCTCCTGTACACTCCCTACCGGGGATGTGCCCGCAACCAAGGTACATGCCCTCTACCGGAATCGAACCCAGGACCTTTCAGTCCGCAGGCCGACGCTCTATCCACTGAGACACACCGGTTTCGGCAGTGGATCGCTTTTTAGAAAAGACTTGGCCAGGCTGGTCCTTCTTTTTAGAGCAGGGAAAACGGAGATGACAAAAGTGGGACCTCAATCAGGGGGGCACTGGGACTAACCCAACCCGAGTCCCCCACCCTCACCCCCACCCCCCTCTGGGCCTTCCACGGGGGCAGCTGCTGAGAGCTCACCGCCCGCCCACCAGCCTGGCATCTCAGGGCAGTAAGTCAAGGAACAAGCACACAGAACAGGGCCACCCTGACCCGCTCTGACCTATCCTGGGACCACAACTTTACCTGCTAAACAACCCCCTCCAGGTTTTTTTTTGGGGGGGGGAGGCACTGACAATTGATCAGTAATTTTCACAACTACAAGCCCCATCACACCACACTTAAAACCCCTCAGTGGCTTCTTTCCCACTGTTCCTGGGATGCAAGACACTCAATATGCACGCAAGTCCCTACCCATAGCATCTTTAGTGCCCTCCCAGCCTTCTTTTTTTTTTTTTTTTTTTTTTTTTTTTTTACAGAGAGGAAGGGAGAGGAATAGAAAGTTAGAAACATTGATCAGCTACCTCTTGCACACCTCCCACTGGGGATGTGCCCGCAACCAAGGTACATGTCCTTGACCGGAATCGAACCCGGGACCCTTCAGTCCGCAGGCCGATGCTCTATCCACTGAGCCAAACCGGTTTCAGCTTTCCTCCCCAGCCTTCTTGCCCCTCAATTTCCCCCTTGCTTTCCGCACGCCAGCCAACTGGCCAGCCTCCTTTCGGCCCCAGGACCTTTGCACATGCTATTCTAGAAGTCCAGGAAGATTTTTTCCAACGCCCTCACCAAGTCAATTCCTCTCATCCTTTAGATCTGTTAAATTGGCACTACGCTGTGAAAGCCCAGACAAGACTGCCAACTCCTGTATTTTTTTCTTTATTGCATTTACTGGTATATTTACATCATCATTAGTTTAATGTGTCTCCCAAGCAAACTCTATGAAGCCACATCTTTTCGCTCATATTGTCTCTCGAGTGCCTAGAATTATGCCCGAAAGCCTTCCATAAGCATTTGTTTTGTTTTCGGGTTTTTTGTGTTTTTTTTTTAATATATTGTTTTTTACAGAGAGGAAGCGAGAGGGATAGAGAGTTAGAAACATTGATGAGAGCAAATCATCCATCAGCTGCCTCTTGCACAACCCCTACTAGGGATATGCCCGAAATCAAGGCACATGCCCTTGACCGGAATCAAACCTGGGACCTTTCAGTCTGCAGGCCGACGCTCTATCCACGGAGCCAAACCGGTTTCGGCTTCCATATGTATTTGTTGAATGAATGCATTAGCGAATAGACCAGGCCGCAAACGCGCACGATCGGCTGGTGTCCATAAGCTCGCGTTCAGAGCCACGGAGGGATAAGCACTTGGTCCTGGAGAAACTTATCCATCATAAGCCGAATCTCAAAATGCCGGGAGCTCCTGGCAGTGACAAAGGGGGGATAAGTGGCAGGAGCCAGCTCCGCGGGTGGGGGGCTCCCAGAAGACGCATTCGGGGTACAGGGAGGCCACGAAGCGTACAGATTCTGAACAGGCGTTTCCCTGGCTCGGCTGGTGGGAGGGACACACCCACGCCACCTTGGGAGGATGCGGAGATGCAAGCAGGTGGGGCCGGTGAGTCACCGGCTGCTTCTCACCATCAGCGGGGCAAGGCTGGGGGCGGGAGCCCGAGGGAGGGGATTACTCCGCGGTTAGGCGGCTGCCACTCTGCGTAAAGGCTCTCGTCACGGAGTGAGGGGACCAAAGGGCTCATCAGGCGGAGTTTGGAAATGGTTGCCCCCGCCCTGTCCCTGTGGGGAGCGGCCTCAGGCCTCTCCTTCCACCCGGACCCCAGGCCTCTTCGGGGAGAGGGGCCGCTCATCTCATCAGGGCTCCCCCCACCCCCCAACCCTCCATGGAAGCCAGCACAGCCAGCCTCTTCCTATGGAGAACCTCCCATCAGCGTGGTCTCCCTGGCCCCAGTTGTCAAGGGAGATGATGGGGAAGTGACTTCTTTCAAGAGGCCCCGGGGGAAGGGAGAGAGAGAGAGACTCCGTGCTGGCTGAAGGTTGGGGCGAGGCCAAGAAGAGTCTTTGTAGGCCAAGATTGAGTGTCCTTTTCGGCTGAGCAAGAGGATCCAGCGGGGAAGACAAGAATGAAGATGTTGCTGAAACCGGTGTGGCTCAGTGGATAGAGCGTCGGCCTGTGGACTGAAAGGTCCCAGGTTTGATTCCGGTCAAAGGCATGGACCTTGGTTGTAGGCACATCCCCAGTGGGGGGGTGGAGGGGGTGTAAGAGGCAGCTGATCGAAGACTCTCTCTCATCGACGTTTCTAACACTCTATCCCTCTCCCTTCCTCTCTGTAAAAATTCAATAAAACATATTAAAAAAAAAAAAAAAAAAAAAAAAAAAAGAATGAAAATGTTGGAAAGAGGGACAGTCCAGGGGAAGGCGGAGGAGGAAGCCTTAGAGCCGGGAGGTAGACTGAAGGAATGTGCCTGCGGGGTTACTTTTCCTAAAGGGGGCATGGACTCCTGCTGGCCACGCATGAGACAGAGACAGAGACAGAGACAGAGAGAGGGAGAGAGAGAGGCGCAGGTTGAAAGCTAAATCGGAAACAGCAGCCGGGGGAAAACGAACACTGTTGCTCGGATAGATCCAGGGCCGGGAATGAGAAGAGCAGAGACCCTCCCAAAAGTCTGGGCGGCCAGACCTGGTCCAGCACCGGCTCAGGCACCCGGGGTGCCTGCTGTTCCGTGCAGGCAGCGGGGGCTTCCAGAATCCACTCGCCAGGCACTGCCCATTGGTCTAGAGAGAGCACATTCTGCACTCAAACTGGGCAGATCAGGTAACCATGGTGGCTCACTAGGGCGCTCTACACGCCTGAGCTACACGCCTGAGAAAGGAAGGAAACAGGGCTGCCCACTAATCCCCGCAGGGGTCCCGGGCAGAAAAGCACTGGGCACCCTCTGGACCCAAGAGGGTAACGTCTCTGCTTCTCATCTCTCCAAAGCTAGCTCCTAGACATGGCTGGCTTCTGTCTGGGGCAGGGAAAATACAAGAGAGCCTAGAGCGGTGGTCGGCAAACTCTTTAGTCCACGGAGCCAAACATCAACAGCACAACGATTGAAATTTCTTTGGAGAGCCAAATTTTTTTTTTTAATATATTTTATTGATTTTTTACAGAGAGGAAGGGAGAGAGATAGAGAGTTAGAAACATCGATGAGAGAGAGTCATCGATCAGCTGCCTCTTGCACACCCCCTACTGGGGATGTGCCCACAACCAAGGTACATGCCCTTGACCGGAATCGAACCCGGGACCTTTCAGTCCCCAAGCCGACACTCTATCCATTAAGCCAAACCGGCGTCGGCTGGAGAGCCAAATTTTTAAAACTTAAACTTCTTCTAATGTCACTCCTTCACAATAGACTCGCCCAAGCCGTGGTATTTTGTGGAAGAGCCACACTCAAGGGGCCAAAGAGCCGCCTGTGGCTCGCGAGCCGCAGTTTGCCGACCACGGGCCTAGAGCATGTTGTAATGCCAGAAAGTAAGGCAGTACTCAAAAAAAAACCACACAGCCCTAGCTGGTTTGGCTCAATGGATAGAGCGTTGGCCTGCAGACCAAAGGGTCCGGGTTGGATTCCGGTCAAGGGCACATATAATACTATGGTTGCAGGCTCCACCCCAGCCTGGGCCCTGGTTGGGGTGTGTGCAGGAGGCAACCAAACAACGTGTTTCTCTCACACAGGTGTTTCTCTCTGTCTTTCCCTCTCTCTTCCACTCTCCCTAAAAATCAATGGGAAAATATCCTCGGGTGAGGATTAACCACACACACACACACACACACATGGAAGGATGAGGGCATGTCAAAGAGACACAGGAGCCAATGGAAAGAGCTCTCAAAGGCCAAAGCTGGGACATGTGAGCAACATATAAATAGCACTGTAAGCAGGATAATGCAAAATGTAAAATAAATGCACCTAAGTCCATACTGATACAAATGACTAAATAACTGGAGACAAGACAAATCTTCCCTAGAGAATAATGCCAAATAATATGTGTAGATTCTGCTGCCTCTGGTGAAATTCAACACCCCCACACCTTATCCCCTTGAGACAAGGCTGGTCTTGGTGTCTTAGTGATTTGCTTCTAAAGAACAGAGCACGGGACAAGAAAAATATAATTCTACAGTGAAGAAAACTGTCAGATCCCCCCATCCCTGATCGAGGACGGCAATACCAAAGATAAACCACGTTGATATGACGCACCTTCCGATAAGATGTG